ATGGTTGAAAAAACACAATTGGACTCATTTTGTGACAATTTAGCTTTGATTTTCTTTGATTTTCTTTCTTTTCTAATTGTGTTTTGGCAGATATTGAAAGCCAGCATACCGAGATCTGTATCAGACATTAAAAAACGGGGAGATTTGTGTATCTCTAATGATCACCATATTATTGTTATTGTCTGAACGGCTCACCAACACGCACTGTCTACTTCCCCCATAAAGGAACAATATATTTTCAGTTCAACTATTATTCACTCATCACCTTTAAAAACTGGCTTGACAACCTTGCCAATAAACCACTCCTTGTTTTTCTTCCATTTCAAGGCTCGCTGCCAGACTGTTTGATCCCTATAACACAAGCTGGACAGCGGACAGGTCCTTCACATTCTGTTCTGGTTTTTCTTGCCGCTTCCTTTTCTCCTACGCTCCTGCCCTGAGAAATACAAATGCCACCAAGGAGCATGCTCAAACTTCGTGACTCATTATTTATCCTTGCAGCAGCATTAGCCTTGTCCAGTACCAAAGAGGGGTTTTTATTCTGTAAACACTTAGTACCAAGACGCAAAACTGGGCTGTATCCGCTCACTGTTCTGTTTCTGCTCTAATTATCCCATGCACGGTGCAACTGTCGTCTCAAATTCTCTGCCTCACAGACATTGAAGCTGCTCTGTTTTCTCATTGGCTCCAGCATCCTTCCTGCTTAAATCTCGAGTCTCATTTGGGTTGTCTTAGCTCGGCCCATTTGCCTTATATTGCCTTTGCTTTGAATTAGAGCAGGCCATACCACAAAAAGTCTTCGCATTAACATTGATTGTTCGTCCGCTTTTGATTTGCTTATCTTGTTTCATGCCTTGTCTTCTAAAAGGTTTGCGTTCTGGTAAAATAGTCCCCCGAACATGCCTTTTTTTATATAAATGTTCCAATTCATTATCTGCATCCCGCCGACACAGACCTTTTAGCTCTTTCCGAAGCGGCTCCTCCAAAATGGGCTGGTGCCGAGCCAAAGATTCAGACAAATCATTACTCAAAGGTACTCAAATCCTTCTTTTATAACTAGAGGGATGACCTATAAAACTCTGAAGAACTATTTACACTACATAAATGAGGTTTTTTGTCGTGGCTTTAACTCTTGGCCTTGAAAAGAGGGAGGTGGCAGTTATTTCTGTGAACAATGTGTTGAAGGGCTTAGGGACAAGTGGATGGTTCAAGTGTAGAAAAGGATTAATTCAAAGACTGCTTTTTGGGCACTGCCTGTGCTGGTCGCCCCAGGCAAGGCTTTGACTCAAAGCTGGGGTACCAAAACTTTCAAGTCACAAGCATTGGATCAACAATAAAATCCATGTGCTTGCTGTCAAAACGGTTTGGGTTTTCCACTAGTTTCTACATGCATTTTTTTGTCTTTCTCTAAGCTTCAGATCATCTTTTTCAGATAGAAAAGTGAAAAAGAGAGGACCACACTCACTCGGCCAAATTATCATATTTCAGCCCAAAGGGTTAACTTGACTCATATACATTTCTTTGCCATGGTCACATCTTGAGAGCTCTCTACTCACCCAAATGCTCTCAGCCCAAAGGGTCAAATAAGTGATACCGAGGCTTTTTCCTCAGTATGATATGATAACATTTTTCACTCAAACTAATGCTTCGTGGGCGACAGTGGCTCAGTTGGTAGAGCCACTGAGGCCTTTGAGCCTGAAGGTTGTGGGTTCGAGCCCACCATGAGACCTTCTCCACCGACTCCCACTGATGACTGCTGTCGTTGTGTCTTTGGGCAAGACACTTAACCCCACTTTGCCTGAAGCCCCCGCTGAAAGATCAAGACTACTGTATGCCATAGACCGGCCATCCTCCTGTGACTCGCCACCTGCAGGAGGATCAGTGAGGGGCTGGTGCTATGTGTACTGTACTACTGGTTGGCATCTGTGGCCACCCCCCGACCCAGAAATGGATTAAGGGGTAGACAATGTATGTATTTATGTATGTACTGTATGTAATAATGCTTCGTCCTTATTTGTTCACCAACTATTACTTTTTCAAGACTTCTGTTGTACAAACAAAATGTATTTTGTATTTTTGTAACTACCCCAGCTTTAAGGTAATTCATTCTATATATTGTTTATTATTAAATAACTTGAATTATTTATGGGCATTCATCAACACTTGGATATTGGTCAAACTCCATGGATTCTATGTGTTCTATTTTCTTTGTGTTGGAACTTTTTGATTCTCTGATCCGTGTTGACGATTTCAACGGCACTGTTTAGTCCTCTGTTGTTGTATTTAGGGCTATACAAGAATACATTGTATTGAATTGAATTAAAAATGCCGGGAGAGGTCAGTTTGTAAAAATGACCTCAGGAAACATAACCTCCAAAACATTACGTCTCATTTGCATATACCTTCATAATAATAATAATTTGTCATTGTTAGTTGTGTTTTCTGTACCAAATCATTAATCACGTCTATTGTGTATATACAAAACAAAAAAGGCAAAAGTGCCAAAACCCAACCCTCTGACAAATAACATTCCTTTTTAGTTTCAGGACAACCATTGTTCAAAATGACAAAGGGGTGATTTGGCTGCTTCACTCACACCACATGAAAGAGCCTAAAGTGTGCTACTGTGAAAATGAGTTTGTCAGTAATCAATAATGACACAACAAAGGCCACTGATCAGCATTTAAAAAAACTAGTTCTCATTACTCCAATTCCACAGTAATAATTGGCTTAACAAGGACTAATACAATGTCTTTGTAGGGAATTGCTTCTTGGTTTTGTATCGTATTGTAGTGTGTGTCTGAATGGCTGGGAGAGGATTGGATTAATATAAGCTTTTTGCCTCATCTGATCACGTTTGTTTCTATTAATTTGTCCTATTTTTCTGTGAGTTTTTAATTTAATTTTATTGAGTTCGGACAATGCACATTCATCAACATTAATGGCGTCAGTGTAAATGAGCCAGACTTGGCATAATTGCTAAATTTCATCCGTAGTCCCAAGGCAGGTTCCTAGGTAACAGACACAAACGACTTTAAAACCTCGCACGACAAATCACACAAATAAATACAAACAGAACACAGACAAAGCAGACGAAAAGCAGATGAAAAAAAAAAAAAAAAATGGGTACATGTCATTTGTGCATTTGTTTTTAATCAATGTTTGAGTGTTTTTTTGTTTTTTTTTTTTTTTTAAAGTGAGTAGTTACCGCAGTTTCTAATGTGTGATGATTTGTGAACTTGTACTAGACAATCATTTGAGCAAAAACGACCAAAGACAATGTAGTTTGGGAAAAATAACCTTGAAATATCACACTATTCTCCACTAGACTTTGAAAGCAAGAAGGTTTTTTTTGTAATCTGGTTAACTAAAAACAACATTAGCAAATAATTGATCAAAAGCATGCGCTCTTGTCGGCATTGTAAATATATCTTTGGCAATGACAACAATGACATCAACTCCGCCGTGACCATTTCGTCAAAAGAAAAGCAACGTGTGAAAAACGACAAATCGGGGGCGAAGGGCCTTCAAGTAAACACCTTTGATGTTGCCACAAACACAACATTCTTTAAAAAAATGTCGTCGCTCGCTTTAGTTCCAGAAAATACAGGCAAAGAAGAATAATCCCCTTGATGCCGAGATGTATCCTCATTTAAAGCCAGACAAGAATAGAGAGCGCCGTATAAATTAATTTGTCGCCGCCATTGTACGGTAATGGAAAGATGACTACATTATTTATGCCTACTTTTGTTTAGTGTTCTTGTTATTGCAAAGATCCCCGCAGCCTGCATCTGTGGCCATCTGTGCCGCATTACATCAGCAGTGAAAACGCTCTCCGATGCCACGCCATAAAAGCGATTGGGAAGCTTGTATTACAGGGCAATTAATCCGAACATTTGGGCATTGTTTACCACTGCCACAACATTGTTTTTATGGGCCATTTCAAGAGGCTACATTTGTCTGAACCTCCGGGGATAAAAAAAAAAAAAAACACCACAAACCCAATCATAATTCGGATTGATGGGTAAGCGCAGGCAATTAATTATTTAGTGTCTGATTTGAGCAGGGAACATTTGTTATAATTATTTTTCCACTTAACCTTGAAGGAAAGGCCACGGTAAGTTCATTAGTGATAGAAGAGGAAAAATAACAGCACGTGCGAGAGACTATAGACTGTTACTTGGCTGTTCTGTTTTTCTCTGCAAACGGAGAACTTAGACCTGCATATCAACAGTCCAGCAGATATAAAGCTGAACGTTTTTAATAAATAATGCACGTAGTTTGTCCAACAAAAAGAGTACGACGCTGTGAACAAATCAGACACAAAACTGTCTTCATCTTGTTAAAAAGTATTTTATCTTTTGCATACTTGAAAAGAAAGAGCACTATTTGTCTCTTGAGGCTGACCGAGGTTGGTCTTCTCTTTTCCACTTTTCTGTCCGTCACCTCATTAGATCAGCTTTTTCAGGGGCCAAAAATGCATTCATGTCCTAGCCAGGAGCTCATTACAAAGATTATATTTCTGAAAGTTACCAGCCATTTCCACCATCCCTACTCTGCTAGATAGATCACTCTTGAGGCTGAGAGCTGATATGCTGAGAGAGGTTGGTCTTTTCTTTTCTGTATGAAAAAGCTGGTCTAAAGATTTGATGGAGACCAAAAATGAATACATGTGAAAACTAGTAATAGACCCATACTATTTTAGAGCGAGGAACTTGTTATTAAAAGTTACAGGCCGTTTCTACCATCTTCTCTACTCTGCTTTTGCCAGATTAGAACGAAATAGCACGGTGAATCACCTTTTGTCTCTTGAGGCTGAGAGCTGATTGGCTGGGAGAGGTTGGTTTTTAATGTTTGTATTATGTCCTGTACAGTGTCCTTTCGCCTATTTCCAACCTCTATCCCAAAAGTACTCACATGAATGCCTCACGGAGATTGGGGTGTTATTTCGTATTTTTTGCAGGTGAACTCAGACCCTTCCCTTCTCTCTGTCTGCGCAGGTATTTGGAGATTATTATCACTTCAAGCATCACGCCGTGGAGAAGAGAGCTTTGTCGAGCCATGCGACCACACACATCCGACTACAAAAAGATCCCCAGGTAAAAAAAAAACAAGCTGTCACCATCCCCAAGCCCATTGTGCTGACAACAAAAGGCTAAAATAAGATTGGATTACACTCTGAGAGAATGCCCAGAAGTAAAGGGATTCCACACTCAATGACAGCTTGTGGTGTCTTCGACAAGTCCATTATAATGATTTCCCATCTGTCTGTTTGTTATGGACCACTTAAAATATTGCAAAACTGATGCTGGCAAGTGACACCCCAGCTGAGACCCCGTAAAACTGATCAGGTCTATTTTGGAGGAGGTGTGCGTCTCTCATAAAACACTGTATATTTTAGCCCTATCCCACTGTAAGCACACACAAGCTTTTTAGGAAACCTATACTGTACATATACAGTCTTAAAAAGTATAATCTTAAACTACTGCCTGGAAACCTCCAAATGTATGAGTAAGAAGGCCACTTTAGTTCACCAGACTTGACCAGGGGCCGACGACCTAGATTGATTAACGTTTTTGACTGGATTCAGGCTGTTTTATTAGTGTGAAAAACTAGCCACATTTCAAAATTAGCTATGACTGCAGCTAAAGTTGGCTAAAAGACAAATGACCATCTCACCAGCAACATTAGCGCTATGAAAGCATTTACAGCTGGTTAAGAAGCATTCACAGCATCAACATTTCCCCACTGTGGGACAACTAAAGGTCCTCTTATCTTATCTTAATTTTGAAACACAAATGTCAGTGTATACAAATAAAGTAAACGGCTGAATTTTCGAGGTACTGAGCTTTACGGGAAGGTATAACATGTGCATATTGACTGAGTTTAAGTTGGCAGGTTGACACTTTGAATGTGTGTTTTTTATCTCAAAGACTTTGGGTTTCGCAAGACAAAGGGCCAAATAAATTGTCACAGAGGACCGCGATTGGCCCGCAGGCCTTAGTTTGGACATGCCTGCTGTAAACACTCTTGAGGAATGCTTTCATACCCTCACAAGTTAATAATCACTTGTGTTTAGCCAAAAAAAGTATGGGAAAGCAATTTTTCTTCCAACATCGGACAAAAAACTCATTATTGGAGCAGTTTGGTAACAACGATACTGCTTCTGTCTGGAGGGGCCTACGGGAGATCACCAACTACAAACCCAAAGCCCCCCCCTGTGCTGACGACCACAAGCTAGCTGACGAACTGAACTTATTTTTCAGTCGCTTTGATGCTGCCCCTGACACCTCTCCCTCCCCCACCCCCCACTACTCTAATGACCCACCCATCAGCCCTGCCCCCAGCCTAACAATAGCCTCTAAAGACATTAAACAACTCTTCCTGAGGCTGCACCCCCGCAAAGCTCCTGGCCCGGACCACGTGTCTCCGGCCACTCTGAGACACTGCGCCAGTGAGCTTACTCCTGTGTTCACTGACATTTTCAACACGTCTCTGCAGTCCTGCCATGTCCCGGCCTGCTTCAAATCCTCCATCATTGTCCCCGTCCCGAAGAAGCCCAGGATCACAGGACTCAATGACTACAGACTTGTAGCACTTACGTCTGTCGTCATGAAGTCTTTTGAACGCCTGGTTCTCTCCCATCTCAAGTCCCTCACCTCCCCCCTCCTGGACCCCCTGCAGTTCGCCTACAGAGCCAACAGATCTGTAGACGACGCCATTAACCTGGCCCTCCACCACATCCTACAGCACAGGGCTCCCCGGGGACCTACGCCAGGGTCCTGTTCGTGGACTTCAGCTCTGCTTTCAACACAATCCTGCCATCCCTGCTCCAGGACAAGCTCTCCCAGCTCAACGTGCCCGATTCCACCTGCAGGTGGATCACTGACTTCCTGACGGACAGGAAGCAGCGAGTGCGTCTGGGGAAGAATGTCTCGGACTCTCGGATTATAAATACAGGAGCCCCACAGGGCTGTGTTCTTTCTCCCCTGCTCTTCTCCCTGTACACCAACCACTGCACCTCCAGCCACGACTCTGTGAAGCTGATCAAGTTCGGGGACGACACCACCCTCATTGGACTCATCTCCAACAACGATGAGTCCGCCTACAGGAGCGAGGTGGACCAGCTGGTGTCCTGGTGCAGTGGTAACAACCTGGAGCTGAACGCCCAGAAGACAGTGGAGATGATTGTGGACTTCAGGAAGAGCACTGTCCCCCCGCCCCCACCCTCCGTGATGGACTCCCCCATCACCTCTGTGGAGTCCTTCCGTTTCCTGGGCACCACCATCACCCAGGACCTCAAGTGGGAGCCGACCATCAGCTCCCTCATCAAGAAGGCCCAGAAGAGGATGTACTTCCTGCGGCAGCTCAGGAAAGCCAAGCTGCCTGCACAGATGTTGGTGCAGTTCTACACGGCCATCATCGAGTCCATCCTCACCTCCTCCATCACCGTGTGGTTCGCTGGAGCCACAGTCAGGGACAAACAGAGACTACAGCGCATTGTGCGCTCTGCAGAGAAAGTGATCGGCCGCAGCCTTCCATCGCTGCAGGACCTATACGTCGCCCAAGCTCGAGGCCGGGCTGGTCGTATCACTGCCGACCCCTCTCACCCTGCACATGGACTATTCCATCCACTCCCCTCAGGCAGGAGGCTGCGGTCCATCAGGACTAGAACCTCCCGCCACAAGAACAGTTTCTTCCCCTCTGCTGTTGGACTCTTGAACACTTCTTAACCTGTCCCCCCGCCCTTTATAAAGTCACTTTACTGGCCATCATACGTCACTTTACTTCACTGTGCTGCTGTCACCTTACATTGTGTGCACCATGTGCACTTGTATATTGTAAATAGTAACTGTAACTCTATTTTAAATTTAAATGTATTCTTTAGAAGTGTTTTTTTTTTTTTATTATTCTTATTTTTATTATCTCTTTTTGACTGTTGCACTGAGCCAAAGCTATTTCCTAGTCTGTGACCTCCTGTTACTTACGTGGCAATAAAAACTAGAAACTTGCAATGGCTGAAGCCATTGCGATTGACTGCGGAACAGATCTAATGTGGAAATCTGCTAAAAAAAATCCTTGAAATCCTTTAAAAAGCCTTGAAACTGTTAAAATACTTGATAGATATTTGAAACTCCTGAAGTCCTTGAAATTGTTGAAACCTTTAAACTCCTGAAATCCTTGAAACTGTTGAAACATTGAAACTCCTGAAATCCTTGAAACTTTTTTAAACCTGGAAACTGTTGAAAGTGTGGAAACTCCTGAAATCCTTGAACCTCCTGATATCCTTGAAACTGGTTAAATTCTTAAACAGCTGAAATCCTTGAAACTACTGAATGTATTGAAAGTGTCCTTGAAACTGAAAAATCCCCTCACCGCTGAAACAATTTGGTTCCTGTAACTAAGGAAACCTGGTCTGTGGTCATTATCTGGTGGTGGTCTGAGTCTTCGTTTGGGTCTTGGTCTGGTGGTATAATGCAACCTATTAGGTTGCATTATACATGAAAAAACCCTATTAAGTTGCATTATACTGGTTTACATGAAAAAAACCCTATTAAGTTGCATTATACTGGTTTACATGGAAAAATCCCTATTAAGTTGCATAATACTGGTTTACATGGAAAAATCCCCATTAAGTTGCATTATACTGGTTTACATGGAAAAATCCCTATTAAGTTGCATTATACTGGTTTACATGGAAAAATCCCTATTAAGTTGCATAATACTGGTTTACATGGAAAAATCCCCATTAAGTTGCATTATACTGGTTTACATGGAAAAATCCCCATTAAGTTGCATTATACTGGTTTACATGGAAAAATCCCTATTAAGTTGCATTGTACTGGTTTACATGGAAAAAACCCTATTAAGTTGCATTATACTGGTTTACATGGAAAAAACCCTATTAAGTTGCATTATACTGGTTTACATGTAAAAACCCCTATTAAGTTGCATTATACTGGTTTACATGGAAAAATCCCCATTAAGTTGCATTATACTGGTTTACATGAAAAAAAACCCTATTAAGTTGCATTATACTGGTTTACATGAAAAAACCCTATTAAGTTGCATTATACTGGTTTACATGGAAAAATCCCTATTAAGTTGCATTATACTGGTTTACATGGAAAAATCCCTATTAGGTTGCATGATTACACTGAAGTCCTTGAAACTGCTGAAGTCCTTGAAACTGCTGAAGTCCTTGAAACTGCTGAAGTCCTTGAAACTGTTGAAGTCCTTGAAACTCTTGAAATCTTGAAACTGCTGAAATCCTTGAAACTGTTGAATCCTTGAAACTGTTGAATCATTGAAACTGTAGAAATGTCTGAAAGAGCTGAAGTCCTATTAAAATGCATGGGCCTATTAAAATGCATTGCAGAATTCTCAATGCAGATTTTTGTCCGATTGCGGAAAAACCGGAAATCGCTGAAGTCCCAAAAGTAATAGCAATAATCTCCCAAACATGTGGAACGTTTTGATGTATAACTTGTGGAAATTGTTGAAAATGTGAAAGCTGTGAAACGTGTCAAAAAAAATGACGGAATAAAGAAATACAAAACCAATGGTTGACTGCGGAAGGTTCCGCAGTCAATCAATGATTCTGATTCTGATTCTGATTATTGCTGTTTACAGAAACATTTGGGTTCTTTTAGTGGAAAACATTCACTGTTAAATGGTGTTGTGTGATCACGGAAAGCAAACAATTAGTTCCGCCGTGCCCTTTGGTTTGTGCGCAAAGGCCACTGGGGGCGACACACATAAAGGTTAATATGCTGTATTCTGTGTTGATAGAATGTCATAACCTTTTGCATGCTGAGTATCATGAGAGCGCTTTGCTTTTGTTCACACCGGAGCCGGCGAGGTGACGGGAGGTGGGCGACAGGCAATATGTGTCCTTCCAGGAGAAAACACAGCAAAATGTGAGCTAACTGTTTTGGCAAAGTCTGTTATTGTTGCGCCTAGAGTCGTCACGATTTCACATTTTTAAAGTGACAGTTTATTGTGAGAGGAGAACACTGATAATTCTGAGCAAAGTACAGAATTAATCTAGAATTTCCGTCTAACATGATACAATTCCTCTTCCAAGCTCATCGATCAG